TTGGAATATAGCTATGCGCATTCACTTCCATATTACCCCTTTTCCCATTACCATGTTGCAGAAAGTGTTGCCAATTGACTTCTAGCAGGAACCCTGCTAGCAGGAACCATATTTGACCAGTAACTAGAGTTTGAGAAATTCATTTTATGTACTTGGGCAAGTGCAAAATGCACTAATAAGAACTGTCTACAAAGCATATAATTGGGAGCAACCAAAACGTCCATTGTAGGACGTTTAATAAATTATGGTACATCCAGACGCTTAGTAGCGACCATAAAAAGAGATAAAAGATGTGTTTTAGGTACTTATGTTAATGGTGGCCAAGACATATAAACAAAAACTGGCCATATTGTCAAATTCTGAACAGCTCTGCAGGCACTGTTCCCACTGTATGCTATGCAGAGGCAGCTCCGGGAGCTGTATCACAGCAGCTACTCTAATAACTTGCCACTGCTGTGTAAATGGAAGGGGAACACGTAGATGTACAAGGTTGTGTGAGTACATACAACCTCAGCTCTGTCAGTGTGACAGGAGAAACTTAAGTATTGGTTGCTTAGTGGACAGGAGAGAAATAGACTATCAGGGGCCGAAGGAAAGGAGGCTTTTGGCTCTATCCACTTTTAGTACACTTTTGGTGTTTAAATCATCAAATTTATGGCCTACTAAAAATTAAATAATTTAAAAAAAATAATATATTTATATATACATATATATTTATATATAATATATGTATTATTTCCCTGTATATATAATATATATTATATAACATATAATTTATATATTATATACAAATATATAATATGTTACATAATTATATATTATTATATTTATTTATATGTAAATATGTAAATATATAACATATAATTTTTATATATAATTGCCCTATATATATATGATAATAATATATATATCTATTTCCCTGACGATGCCAACAGCCTTGCTCACTGATGTGGTCTCAGGTTAAGGCAGCCGTCAGCCAGCTCAGTGCTGTCCTGCCGTCTGCTGTTTCCTCTCTCCACCTGTATTCTCGCTCCCTGGTATCACCCCATGATCTTCTACACAGTTCTCCCAACTTTGCACATTCTTCTCCATCCCTGTCCCTCTCTGCACTTCCTATATGAAGCTCTTGCTTTGTAGAGACAAGCTCACCTTAACATTAACCTGGGGCTTGGCCCTCCCCACCCTGGGCCCTGTGGCTGAGGTGGCTCAGTTTCTCTGAAGGACCTAAATCCCCTGCTGTTCTTTCCAGGCAGCCCTTCCCACCCTGCAGCCACCCTCTTTTCAGCAGTAAGGGGCATTGGACACGATTTCTTACTCTCTAGTGTCATCTCTAGGCTACAAGACACAGGTGTCTTTCTTTCTAACTTTCCTGCCTGCTCGTGGTCACTTCCACATTTCCAGTGTTCTTTCTGCTCCATCATCCTCCATCATCCCACATCTTGCTTTTCCTCCATGATACCCTAAGCTTCCACTGTCACCTATCAAAGAAGCAGCCCTCACGTTCTGAGCCTCCACCAGTTCTGAAATCTATACCACAGGCTTCTCCTCAGATCACATCTCTCAGTTGTCTGAACTGCCCTTGGGTCAGATCTGTTCTGCCCACTCTAACCACCATAATGGACTTGCTTAGTCCTTTCTGTCTACTCACGGTGGCATTTCTTCACCACCACCCTCTTCTGTGTCTTCCGTGGTATAAGCTACATACTGTGCCTATTCTGGGGTTCTGCTTTGACTTCAACTTGTAATATGTGCAGTTTATCAAATTTTTATTTTTCTTTTCCTATATTTCTAAAGCAGCACCCAAATGCCTACTTTATCCTTCCTTCTTTTCCCTTTGACTCTAGTGAAGTGCTTCCCAAACATTGTACCTTAGAATCACTTGAACTTCTAAGAGCAAAACTTCTAATGCCCAGATCACATCTCATACAAACTAATTCTGAATGTTTAGGGTGCAAACCAGGCATCAGTACTTTTAAATAATTTCAGAATTATCAGACATGAGTATTAAATGATTCCAGTGTTAGCAAAGTTTGGAGCCAGGGCTGCAGTGTTCTGGTTTATGCTCACTCTTAAGGAAGCCCTTGATGCTGAGAGCTGAAGCCGCCTGCGAGGATCTGCAGAGCTTACCTCTCAGCACGGAGCATGAAAACCATCTCTGTCCACATGACATCTGTTTTTTTCTGGGAAATTCTTACCTAGTGGGGGAAAAACTGTAAATCAGTAAGTGACTTCCTTATTTACTTTTGTCTGCACAAATAATCTGAGGAAACCACTCTTTTCTCTGGAAAATAGATTGTCTCCCTGAGCAAATAGCTCACTGTTAAACAACTGTTTATTTATTTAAGACTCAGTCTTCACAGTGCTGTGTCCACCAGTACTAAACTGTCCCATTATGAGTTTGTCTAATGCTAATCAAATCTATATTTAAAAGACCTGCCTTGGGCTGGGCTAGAGCTCAGTGGTAGCATACTTGCTTACTATTAAAAGTCTTGCTTTTAATCCACAGCACCATGTACAAAAAAATTTAAAAGACCTTCCTTAAATCACTTGAATCCAGATATTCAAGCTCCGTATGTATTCTCCCCTTCGCATTGCTTAATAGGCTTCTTTGTGGTGTTTGAGGGAGTTAGGTTTTGATAATATGATGTCACTCGCCCTCATTTCACAACTTTAGGCTAGGATGCTGACGTTGGTCATATAAATCCCATTCTTTGTTGAGCATCCTGATCCCCCAGCCATTCCTTTGTGTGGAACTTGCCCTGGTTCCCCTATCATCAGATGTGTTGAAATTTGTCCAAATTGCAAGTTCTTCATTTGATCTGCTTACCTCTTCTCACTCAGGTCAACAATTCCTTTCTGTTCAACTTCTTGAATATGTGACCTGCCATCATAGCCTCATCCTCCTGGGAAGCCACACTCTCTGGGCTTTCTTCTTCTGACTCACCACATGTCTGAATGTTTGTATGCTCATCTTCATAAGGACTGTTTATTGCCACATCGAGTAAGCTTTTGTCAGAGTTACTTTTGCTAACTGGATTGAATTGATATGGTTACTTCATCTCTTTCTTTTTTGGCTTTCATGACATGTCACTTTCCAGAGTCACTACCTTCACTCTCATCCTCTTACTTTCTCTGTCTTTCCCCTGCTCTTCTCGTTCCTGTAATTGACCTCTGTGTAACAACTATTAGTGTCCTCCTCTAAAACTGCCATCTACTCACATTCCGTCCTTTGGAGACATGCACACTCCTGAATTCATCTCTCACCTCAGAGAACAACTTCCACATCAGTAACTGAGGCACAGGATCGAGCAGCTGCTTCATAGACACACACTCCTGACTTCAAGAAGTAGATGAGGGTGAGCTCATCATTTTCAGGGAGTGTCTTATAGGGCTGGCTGGAGTGGCCAGAGAATCTGCATCTAAATGTAACAGGGAAGGGCTGCCCAATAAGAGATCCATATTCCAGAGGGAAGACTATCTCGGCAGCTCTGTTGGATCTTAGAAATCACTCCTTTTACATGGCTATGTATTGATTCCAGGAGTATGACGTATACTTCAACCTAAGGTCTCTGGATAGCCCAACATAATTAGACTATAATTTCCCAAAAAGAAATGGAAATGCCCTCTTGAGAAGAGAGAATGTCGTACTCCCTAATGTTGTAGTAACAAGTGTGACCTTGCTGCTGTAGTAGGGAGACAGGAGCTACCATGCCCTGATGGACTCATATCATGGAAACTGAGCTACAAATAAAAGAAGAAGTTTTCAGAGGGTATGTTCCTCAGTTATCCCTGAAATAGCCCTAGGGATGTTTGGAACTACCGAGGGCATGTCAGGTGCATGTTCCATTCACCCACCCATCCAGTAATCATTTTCTGGTAAATAGGTATAAAATAAAATTTTAACAGGCAGTGTGCTAAGTGGTCTTGATACACATGCAAATAAAACTTGTCTCCTTTTCCCAAAGAGCTCACACTCTGGGATCCACAGAAGTACATGTTTAACCAAGTGCAGCCCGGGGTTAGACAGGTCTTCACAGAAACAGGTACAGAGGTATCATGTTTGTTAGAGTTTGGGGTTTTGCGGAGTGTTTTCAGTCTCTTGCTATATTTAATATTCATAATAGCCCTGTCAACTGAGAAGAGAAAACAGTGTTGATCCCATGTTGGAGAAGAAGATATCAAGGCATAGAGAAGTCGTGTGAAAAATCTTGTGTCTAACCTGTGGCTGAGGAATGGGGGAGGAACCTAGGTGGCCAGGTAGAATTCCTACTTTCCGCTACCTCCTGCTGCCTTCCTACCATGGTTTCCTCTCGGTATAAAGAAAGTCCTAGGTTGTTTATCTTTCTCCTATGTTTCCTTTAACCGTGAGAGTCTCTGATTTTGTAACAAGGTTGCTCATCTAAGGAGCTTCTGATCTGGGAGGAACAAATGGATCTAAAACTGTCCAACGGAACACGGAACACTATACGGGACACCTCCCCACATAGAGTTGTTGTAAAGATTACATTATATAATGCACCAATCCATGGAAAGCATTTTGTGACTCAATAAATCTAATACCATAAATCTTAGTCCATTGTACCTAACATTGTGAAGAAGTTATTTGTCCATGTTCTCATTAACTTTCCAAATGTCTGCCTCTCCCAAGAGACTTCAGGGGAGGGAGCATGTAATATCTGCCATGACTAGGAATCCATGTTGATAACGGATGTTGATAATCATGTTAACAACATGGTTTGCTGAAAAATGAGGCAGGTTAATCTTAGAAAGGAAGGTAGCCAGATCTCTGGACTGTGTTTTTTTTTTTTTTTTGGTTGTTTTTTACCTCAATGCACGTTCTGTGTTTCTCAGAGTACCAAGCTCAGTATGGTGTTGGAAGTTCAACAAATACTGAATGTGGTTGAGAGTGGGGGAGGGGAGGAGGTGGAAGGTGTAGGGAAAAAAAAGCAAAAAAGAAAAAGACAAGGAAGAAGGTAGGGCATCAAAATTCATAAAAATACCTTTTATCTCTAGAGATGTGAGTGCCAGGACTTCATTTATCTTGTAATCCTCATGTTTCCTGAGTACCCCAAGAAAGCGCAGTAATAGTGCCAGGTCTGCCATGGGAACAGACGCCTCAGAACTCTCATAATGACGTCATGTTCTGGGAAATCATTCCGGAGTCACAGCAGCAGCAGTGGTGGCGGTGATCACTGCCCTCACATTCCTCTGGAAAGGCTGGAGTATTGCTTTGTGTTGTTTTAGGCTCTGTGACCCAGGAAGCATTACCGGATGGAAATACAGAGCCCCTACCCCGTCCCAGCGCTGTTTTGTGGTCAGTGAGGTACATGCAGTTTGTGCCTCTTAAGAAATGTGGGACAAGAGGCTGGGCTGAGCACTGCCCATATGACAGTGGAGGTGCGTCAGTGGGCTTCGTGATGGGTGGCGGAGGCCAGAGCCCTGGGGAATCACTTACAGACACGGAGGTTCCTTTCTCTCCCGACCACTGCCTGATGATGGGAATGAGGTAGTGACCAGCCAGGCCACATCACTGGAGGCTGGAGAAAGATGTCTTGAGAAATTTGTACATGACTTATCTTTAAATAACTACCCAGCAAGTCAAATCCCCAGGAGGAATTTTTTTTTTTTTTATTGGCTGCTTTATTAATTCTTTTAAGCAAGTCTCTTGAGGATACTTTTGGCTTGCATGCACTTGCTCAGGCTTGTCTTACTCTTTTAATACTGAAGATTTGTTGTTCAACAATTAGGACGGAATTGGCTTTGAATTTGGTAACAAGAGCAGCACAAGAACAATGAGCTTATTTTGTGGAACTGTGTGGGACAGAAAAAGTGTCACCCAGGTCTAGCCAGTGGTCTAGCTGGCTATAGGACAATCGGGTAATGGTAGAGTTGGGGTGGTTGCTATCAGACAGTGGGGAACTGGCCACTCATCTGAAATATGGTATCTGCATTGCTTGTCAAGTCTCCCCTCATGGGCTGGGCAAGGGCATGCGTGTCAACCAAGTATTTGAAAAGGAAGGGGAAAGACGTCCTGGTTTATAATGGTCACCAATTTTCACAGTGTGAATATTCTAACTTTGGCTAACTTCCAGTTACCAGTTGACCTGCTTAAGAAATTCATGGAGATTTAGCAATGAGCTCTCCAGCACTGGTACTGAGAGCTCCAGAATGCCAGTGGCCAAGGAACTAAAGTTTTACTTACCATTTCCTGGCTTGGATTCACCAAATATTAGATGTATGTTCCCTGGCAAGTCTCGGTTTTGCAAAACTGCAGTTCTCTCTGCAGCTCAGATAATGTGGTAGAAGCTATTGACATCTCTGCCCAAACTACCCTTCTCTCTTCTGAGAACTGCACCCTCCTGGGTGCTCCGTCACGGTGTCATAGAAGACACAGAGAGGAGTCAACCCATTGCTACTAGCTGGACAGTAGCAATCAAATCTCTTCCTTGATTGAACAGAGCAACCTAGAACCAGGATTTGGGAAAGAGAGGAGCACAGAGGGAGAGGATGGAGGAAGGAAGGGAGGGAAGGGAGGAAAGGAACTCCTCCTGTCCTGCAAATGCTATTTTCTTCAATCCTCGGGCATCTGGAAGATATCCCAGCTGCTTCCAGTAAAAACTTTTCTGTATTCAGGCCAGTCTGAGTGTACACAGTAACTAGTAGAGCTCTAAGTAAGGTAGAAATAATCCCCAAGGCCTCCTTAAACTCTCGTTACACCAATGATTCTCAGAGTATGAATTTAATTGGTTAAAAATCTAATTTTTAAGCAAATTTTATTACTTTTACGTTTTGAAAGGACCACAAATCTCCTTTCTTCCTGTTTTTAAATTTTATTTCAGGGAATCCAGCCTGACGTTTCAAAGGCTAGCCTAAAAAAACATAAGGAAAAGTGTGAAGAATAAAACCACTTCCAATAAATGAACAGAAGTGGAAAAGTAATTCCAGAATAATTTCAAAACAATAAAGGCCAGAAGGAAAGCCAGAGCAGATAACTCAGAGGCTGTGTGGCTTTACAGTGTTGCATGATTCACAAAATGTGCCATTAGATGTGGAAATGACTAATATTTTCTGGCATTAGGAAACAGAGTCCACTAAGGATTTATTTAAGTAAGTACAGTAAAAAGTGAAACAGGAAACTTTGACCTAACTTCATTTTCACATGTATCAAAGCACAATTTTCACTGTTGAGTTGTAAGATGTAGGTAGATAAGAACTTTTCATTACAAAATGCTCTTAAACAGGCAGCTGCCGTGAAGAGGGCTCACTGGGACATTGTATTTTGGAAACTAGCACGCCTGTTTTCTGATGGGGAGTCTTACTGTTGGACAGCAGACCTCAGGACAGCGGGACCCACAGCAGGAGTGAACTGGAGACAGGGTAGTCAGGGAGGTGCCTTCGGGGTTAGTGAGGGAGAAAGCTGAATGGAACGCCTCCTCCACCAGTCCCCAGACATTCCCCTGGCACAAGGACAGAGGACCTTGTTGGAAAGCATAGGGCTGACAGGAGCTGTCTTTGCAGAAGTGTCAAAAGAAGACTAAGGGTGGGGAGAGTCCACCCAAAAGTGACTATGAGAAGGGCAAACTACTTTTCTCTATGATCACCCTCACACTTGGAAAGGCCACCAAATGTGTGGTGGTTATTCCCACACCAAGCAATTCTCCAATTCTCTGCAAACACCAACTGTGTCCTAAAATCCAACCCTAATAATAAGTAACTCAGCATTAGCACAGACCCCACAGGGTCAGCCCTTAGTCCCACGAGACTCCTGCCTCTTCAGATCCCAGTCACATGTCCAGATTGTCACCCATACTCTGACCAACAGACCATTGATGGAGGGTCACCAGGGCTCACAGAACTCAGAGAAACACCTACTTATTATTACTGATTTATTACAAAGGATATAGATAAACAACCAGAAGAGAAGTACGGGGTGAGGTCTGGAACTGGATGTGTTTACCAACCCAGAAGCCATCTGACCCCACCCTCTTGTTTTTCATGAAAGCTTCATTACATATATGTTATTGATTAAACCATTGGCCACTGGTGAGTAAGTCAATCACCAGCCTCTCACTAGAGTATGGTCAAAGTTCCAGTCCTCTAATAACGTGGTTGGTTCCTCTAGCAAACAGCACCCACCCTGAAACAATGCAGTAGCTCCCACCTTTAGTCATTTTATTGTGCAAAAGATCCTTACTTCTGAAATCCCAAAGATTTGGGAAGCTCTGTGCCAAGAAAGGGAGAAAAAGACCAAATATTTATACTACTTATTATAAATCACCATGTCACAGTGACCAAATATGTATTAGTAAGCTGGATGATTAAAAGCTAGGGATTTGCTGTGTGCCACTGCACGCATGCTCTGTTGGTGCACAGGCCTCTGAAGCAAGTTTGGATAGCCTGGGGGCTACGACTGCCAGCTCTGTAGTCAGGTGGATTCTGGTTTGAATCCCTGTTCTTGTGTGATCTTCAGCTAGTTAGGAAAATGTACCATATCTTAATTCCCTCCTTTGTGAGGTGGAGATTACAAGGTGATATAATAAAGTATTAAGTCTCAGTCACTGGTTACTGACATGGAACTCCTAAACTCTAAGTGCCAGAAGGGCTTTTTGTTGTTGTTCTACTATTGTGGACCCTGGCTCCTGATACAGAACTGCTAATTCCTTGGGACATCATGGGCGGTAGGTGCAGCTCTTGTTCTAATGAGATAACTCTTGATGGGCTCTTGGGAAGGGGCTTCTAGCAGAAAGACCAAGCCATCATTAGAAGCTTTGGACCTTTAGCTCACTCTCTATTCTCTGGGAAACAGAGTTAATTGTTGATCTTACCTACATGGTAAAGCCCTACATAAAAATTCCTGAACTATGAGATTGGGAGACCTTATTGGGGGAACATGTCCCCCTGATGTATCTCAGCTCCACAGAGATGGAAGCTTCTGCTCCCACAATCCTCTGAGACCTCATGCTATGTGTCTTTTCAGCTGGCTCTTCCTGTGTGTCCTTCATCATGTCCTTTGTTTTAATGAACTGGTAAACATAATTAATATACTCTTGTGTTCTGAAAGCCATCCTAGAAGCTGGTTTATTCCAAGGAGAGAGTCTTGAGAACTCTGACTTTTAGCTGGTCAATCAGAAATATAGAAAACAGCCTTGGCTTTATGATTAATGTCTGAAATGGGGTTAACTGTGAGGACTGAGCTCTTGATATGTGGGGTCTATGCTAATCCTGTCCAGTGACAGAATTGGGCTGAACTATAAGACACCCACTTGGTGCTGAATGGAGAAATGAATACGCAGGGATAAATCTATGGACTGGGTCACAGAAGTATGTTGGGTGGGTATACAGAGAAAAATAGAACTGATTTTTTCAATAGAATGATGAAAGTGTTACTTGACAAAGATGTTTTGAGAATTCAGTGAGATAATGCATAATGACGTGCTTATCCCACTGAGCATTTAATATATGATAAATATTATTGTTTTGCAATTCATCCTTGAAATAATTTGGTTAAAAGGTTTTCATACTTTTTGAAAAACAAATGAATCAGAGGTCCAGTAGCTAATACATGTAGGAAGTATAAAGAGGACTATCAGTGGTGTAGGAAATCACATCTCCTTTCTTTTGAGAGCTTGTGGCCCAAATCTTTGAATTCTTCCTACCAACTGAAATTCTCATCATGTTCTATAAGAATCCAGGCATTCCTATAGAGAACACAAACACAGGAGAAAATTCCATACTAGCTGATGTTTATTGTTACATGCTTATTTTCTCCTGTATGACCGCTATTTGAAAGAATTGAAAATAAAAACAAAACTAAAACCCTGCTCAGTGGTGGGGAAAATGCTTGAATATATTTAGTCATGTGCCTGGTTCTTCTGAGATCCCCCAGTACTGTCAAGACAGTGTGGTTTTGGCTAACACACTACTCTTTGTGGCTTTTGAAATGATTTGAAAGACCTGAAGAGTTACAGCTGCCCTAATGTTTCCCAGAAACCTCATGTATGGGCAAAGTGATCTTGATTATCCTGGCACTCGGCAAGTGTGCTGGCTACATCCACTGTTAACCAGAGAACTTTGCTGAGAAGTGATCTGCGAGCCACGCATGTGTCTGATCCAGGGATTTGGACCACATAACTGTGTGGTGTTCCTGGTTTCCAGCAGAGACTTAAATAGGTTCTGTGGGTGATCTTCATGTTTACTGCAAATGACTCCGTTCTAGCCAAACACCCTCAGTCTGAATATTGACAGGGTAAAGGAGCAAACTGCAAAACAACATGAGTCCTTGTACTAAGTGGTGCTTAAAAGCTCTTTTACTTATTTGTCTGGGGCTGTACATTCTCAGGCACTACATGGATGCCCCAGGAGGACCAAAGACTGATCTCAGACTAGAGTGAGCCCAAAGCAGTGGCCAGGTCCCATTGAGCAAAAACTCTGGAGTCAGGAGGCCAGGAGCTTGGGGTCTGGCTGGCTCACTTGCTCATGTATCAAGTGACTATCACTAACAAAGGAGCATCTCCAGTTAAGGCCCGATTTAAGATGCCTTCTGAAGAAAGAGCTTATGCTTGGAGCACCCACAATGCATGCTGTACTTTGAAAGCAAGGAGTGTCTCTGTGGACTCTCAGGCAGGCCTTGACAAGATGGAACCTAACAATTTTCTTGCTGTATAAGCCTTTTAATGAAAAGCACTTGAAGACTTAAACAGGTCATCCGCTAAGTAAATAAATCTTTCCTGGTAAAATGGTAGGTACAGTGGTCGCCAATGTGAGGAATACTTTGCGTACACAGTCTTGTCTGGTAATGTTAAATGCCTTCAATTAAGGTATATGGCCCATGTGTGATTGGGCTGTATTTATTCTTCTATAAAATGGTGATAGCTACACTTGAACTTGTTGGCTCAGAAAGATATATAATGACAAAAGGACATAACAGGAATCAACTTTTAAGTGTTGAAATTAGGGCATTTTATTGTAATATTTAACGGGTCACAGTGCACTGTCAAGGAAAGAGTATAAACTCTGGAGCCAGTGACATAAGCTACAACTTATTGTTCTTGTTTTTTAATAGAAAGAAGTGTTTATTTGTCTTAGACTACATTTAAATTATAAACTCAGCCATCCCAATAAATATAGATGCATAATACTTCATACTTCCACATGCTTAAACTTAATGAAATCAACACAAGGAATATTATCCAATTATAAATTAAAGAAAAAGTCAAATAATATGAATTGACTTTCTCATTTATTTCAAGATTAAGAACAATATCCTTATTTTTTTCAAATCCACCTTTCTATTCTCTTATTATTCTGTGCCCATTATCAGTAGATCATGCATTTACTGCTGTTTTTCCTGGCGTGAATAGATTATACATTTGATTTTCAGATTTTCTTAAACTCCCTAAACCAAAGTGAATAAATGTGACAATAAAATGAAATAAAAA